ATAATGAAGATCTAATGAAGATCTAATGAGGATCTAATGAAGATCTAGTGAGGATCTAATGAAGATCTAATGAGGAGGATCTAATGTTGCTCTGGGTGTGAGAGTAGTTTGTCTCCATGAAAGTATGAGACAGTAGTTAAGTCCATGAATTGTTCTTTTACAAATGCAATGAATGAATAGAGCTTGAATAAACCGATTGAACCCAAAATGTTCTATATCGGTAAAGAAACGAGGAAATTATGTCAATTTTAGTCTTGAAATCATCTATTTTTTCCTCTTTAGTTTAACGTTAGAAAACAGAAAAACTGAGATCAACCTAAAACAAATGAACTTCAGTTTTTCTGGACGTAATTGGATGAAATTTTCAGAAGTAGTAAATGATGTGTTCCTAAAAAAAGGTTTGTACGCCCAATCATCCAGGTAGATAATTAAAAAAGGTTCAATCATGTCCTCTGGACCAGTTTCTTTAAGAGAGAAACGTTTCATCTTCCATCTGGAAGACTTCATCAGTCTGTGGCCTGCCGACCAGATCTGTCTCACAAGTATCCTCCACTGCTGTGTTTCAAGACAACCTCCTGTTGGCGTCTCAATCAGGTTTTTAACACATGCACATGACTCGTCTGTCCAAAACAATCATCATGATTAACAATCAAATGTTTTAGATTTTTATGGTCATGACACAACAAGGAACTCAGTGTCCCTTGCCCGGACGTGGGTTACCGGGGCCCCACCCTGGAGCCAGGCCTGGGGGCGGGGCTCGTTGGCGAACGCCTGGTGACCGGGTCTCTACCCATGGGGCCCGGTTGGGCTCAGCCTGAAGGAGCAGCATGGGTTTGCCTTCCTGTGGACCCACCACCTGCAGGAAGGGCCATAAAAGTCGGGTGCATGATGCCATGGACAGTGGCCGAAGGCGGGGACCTTGGCGCTCTGACTCTGACTTATCAGAGCTGGCTCTTGGGACATGGAATGTGACCTCCCTGGCAGGGAAGGAGCCTGAGTTTGTGCGCGAGGTTGAGAGGTACCAACTAGATATAGTTGGGCTCACCTCGACACACAGCATGGGCTCTGGAACTGATCTCCTCGAGAGGGGCTGGACTCTATTCCACTTTGGAGTTGCCCATGGTGAGAGGTGTCGAGCTGGTGTGGGTCTACTTGTGGCCCCCTGACTTGGTGCCTGTGTGTTGGAGTTTTCCCCGGTAGATGAGAGGGTGTCTTTCCTTCGCCTTTGGATGTGGGGACAGGCTCTGACTGTTGTTTGTGCCTATGTGCCGAACTGCAGTTCAGAGTATTCGGCCTTCTTGGAGTCCTTGGCAGGGGTGATGGAAGGTGCGCCTGCTGGGGACTCCTTTACTCTGCTGGGGGACTTCAATGCCCACGTGGGTAATGACAGTGTGACCTGGAGGGGCGTGATTGGGAGGAACGGCCTCTTTGATCTGAACCTAAGCGCTGTTCTGTTGTTGGACTTCTGTGCTGGTCATAGTTTGTCCATCATGAACACCATGTTCGAACATAATGGTGTCCATCAGTGCACTTGGCACCAGGACGCCCTAGGTCGTAGATCGATGTTTGACTTCGTAGTCGTGTCATCTGATTTGCAGCCGTTTGTTTTGGACACTCGGGTGAAGACAGGAACTGAGCAGTCAACTGATCACCACCTGGTAGTGAGTTGGATCAGATGGTGGGGGAAGATGCCGGACAGACCCGGTAGACCCAAACATGTAGTGAGGGTTTGCTGGGAACGCCTGGCAGAAGAACCCGTCAGAGAGATCTTCAACTCACACCTATGGGAGAGCTTTAACTGCATCCCAGCTGAGATGGGGGACATTGAGTCTGAGTGGGCCATGTTCCACACCTCGCTTGTTGAGGTAGCTGCTTTGAGCTGTGGCTGAAAGGTTGCCGGTGCTTCTCGCGGTGGTCTTCCACAAACTCAGTGGTGGACACCCCGGGTTAGGGAGGCTGTCAAGCTGAAGAAGGAGTCCTATCGAGCCTTGTTCCGATCAGCTGCTTTTAGCTGTTCCAAAAACAAGACTGAAGATCAGAGGAGATCGGGCATTTTCAGTCATGGGCCCCAAACTCTGGAACAACCTGCCCCCCAACATCAGGCAGGCCACCTCCCTTCAACCTGCCCCCCCCCCCCTCCCCAACATCAGGCAGGCCTCCTCCCTTCAACCTGCCCCCCAACATCAGGCAGACCACCTCCCTTCAACCTGCCCCCCAACATTAGGCAGACCACCTCCCTTCAACCTGCCCCCCAACATCAGGCAGGCCACCTCCCTTCAACCT